GCCGATAGCACCTTCTGTGGCAAAACAGGGCCAAAGTGTGCCCCCGGGCCAGCCCCAGGGCCAAAATGTGCCCCACCATCCGGCGCCGCCGGCGCCGCGCCAATAGCTGCGGCACCACCCGGACCAGCTGCTCCGCCAAACCAGGGCCAGAATTCGCCCACGCTGGTCCAGCTACCTAATGGGACATACGGATAGATGGCATCCAACGGAGCCATTCAATATATCCCCGGCCCAGCGTCACAGGCACTGCAGCCGCCACCTCAAGTGGTGATACAGCAGATAACGCTTGCACCTTCGCCAAGGGCCAGCCCACCACTCAACAACCTGGAGACCATTGACCGATATGCAAAAGCCAGCGCGAAAGCCAATAACCGCACCACTCTACCACCCTTCGATGGAGATAAAACCATGGTGAAGGGATGGATTGCCCGGGTCAAAAGGATCTTGTAGCAATCGTCTGACTTAACCAAGCCAGACCCGGACTTCATGAGCCGAATCTATGGAGTCTTGACCAAACCGGTCGAAGAGTGGTATATGGGCCAAATGAACCGCAAAGAAGACGATGGCTATACGGTCGAAAAATGGCTCCAGAAGTTCCAAGAGCGGTATGGCAATAACAACCAGCAAGCCAACGCTCTGGGAGAAATCACGAACCGTTTCTACCGACACGGTCCTGAGACTCCGGAACAGTATTAGGATGCAATCCTGACTCTCCAGGCACGCGCCAACTTGGACGACACCATGACGCTGCACTTTCTCAAAAACAACGTGCACGAGTCCGAACTGCGCCGCGCTCAGGACATCAGACTGCCGAGGTCCCCGACAGAATTCCGGGACTACATTCGGCAGTTCACGTCGGGAAAATCCCAGTACGACGAGAAGGCGGGCCAAGACTACCCGGTAATTCGGGCGGCCATGCCAACGCCACCAGCCCAAGTCGTACCTCGCCAGTCAACACCGCCGGCATACTATCCTCATGCTTTGGGGTACCAGCTGTGATGCAGCTGCATATTCCGCGGCATTACGTGGATTTGCACCGAGCTCGCTAGCAGCCACTTTTTCCACAGCTCTTCCGCATTGGTTTTTGTTGGCTTTATTGTTATCACAATAAAGGAGATATCTTGCTCCCATTTTTGCTCTCATATCTGACAGTATCTTGAGAAAATTTTGCTTGGATTAAAGAACAGCTGCCTCAAGGTCAGTTTTAAAGATCGGTTTGCGATAACGCTTAATGTTTACAAGTGTCTCTTAATTTCAGTGTTTTTATGTTGCTCTTTTAATTCTCTTTTTGTACTGATTGTCTGTAGATCACGATAAGGAGTGATTCCTTGCATCTAGGGACGTTAAACAATAAACCTAAACCTAAACCCGTTACGTCATGGTTTTTACGCGTTGCAGTTTGCGCGTTGCTTAAGGGAAGTTAGTGGTCCGGTACATCACCCAAAATGCGTGCACATGCACGAAAACTTTCTTTCGCACAACTCTTAAGAACAGATGACCTCTACCTGTGATTTCTTCTTGCATGTCACGTTGGACAACATAATAGTACTGTACGCATTTGGCTCAAGTGGCACAATATCTTAACCGAAATTGCTTCTGTTCTTATGGTGTAAAACGTAAAGATAATATTGACGATTAATCATTAATGCCTCTGAATATTGAAAAATTGTGATTATGAAATTCCCTTGAGGGAATAGGACTATCACCGCCCATATGAAACATTCTGGTTTAGTTACTTTTAATAAGTATCACACGAAAGAACGCATACTTCGCTTTGACCATTATTTCGAACACTTGCACTGTATGGATCAATAAATCTAACACTGGGCCGAATTAGCAGCTACTCTAGCGGCGACTACTTGAGCAGCTAAACTGGCCGATTGAAATGCCAAACATTTCGCACTGTAATCTGCACAATGAAGTTCAAAGTGTGAACAGAATGCATAGTAGTTTTTTTATTTTGCCTGTTGCATAGAAAATTATTGTTATATATTATCTACTTTTTAGTATTAATTGTTCATTTAATTTATGGACAGACCAAATCGTATTAATCCTGCGGTCCAACAAGGGTAGACCAACACGGGCAAATGTGTGTGGAGGGTGTTCGATATATTGATTCACACAGTGCAAGTGTTCGAAATAATGGTCAAAGCGAAGTATACAATCTTAGTACGAGTATTAAAACAAAAATAAAAGTCGAAAACACTTCCTCGATATTATTAAAGCGTATGAATGTTGTCTAAGCGGTTCACCTTGTGTGGATACCTGTTCTCACCAGCTCACCATACGGATAGCATGACTAGACACATTTATCGGAAGCTGCCCATTCTATTTCTAAACTTGATTTTAGTTTTGGACTTTCGTCCGTTCGTACGGGACGTACAAATAAAGTTAGGCCTGCGATCTGGCCGCACAGTGAATTGGTGTTTCTCGATTCTGGTAATCGTAATCATAGCTGTTTCGTGACCTTACATCCTTTTCCAACCTGAACAGTCAATTGCTCCTTGGAAGCGCTGTATAAGCAACTCCAGTTGAGATGCTTTAATAGCATCGTTTTATTATTGAGGTCATTTTGTCTTGCATTTTGTGAACATGGGTTTGCACATTTTGTGAAAATGGGTGCCAGGCAGAATGTGTACGTTTGTGAGACGGTGCTGTAATTGGATACCGCTGATTAATTAAAGCCGCTTTCACAGCACATGCACAAACAGTGCAGATGGAACAAGATCAGAGGCGCTCGTACTATGTGTGGCTCTTTGGAAAGAGATGCCGTGTATTGCCATCGTGAACATGGGTGCCGGGCTGGATAGCTCACGTTTGTGGACACGCGTACCGCTTAATGGCCTGTCTAATGATTTCGAGCTTAGGCCTTTTGTTTGTATTCTAATTACTAGACAGTAGACATCGCATACTGACGACTTCTGTATCCCGTTGTTTTTTGCTGTTATGACTTGTTTTGCTGGATGACCATTGTCCACTTTTTGCACCACGAATTTGTGAACACGGGTGCCGGCAAAGATGTTCACTTTTGCAAGGAATTCCGCTCATGCTAGTCGGCTTGTTACCATTTATGAGCCAAAAAACATCTGCACCATAATATGACTCATAATTCATAAATAGGAATAGCAGCTGCTAAGCGGTTGCGGAGCGAATAGTCAGCGTTTTATTACTGTATATGTAATTACACATTAAAATTTAAGAAGTTTTTTATAACTTTTCACCACAAGCCCAATATCCCAAAAATCCTTGCAAAGATTAACGGCCGAGGGTAAAAATTAGGTTTAGGAGCAGCATCAACGTTAATAACTCAACAGAGTTGTGCGAAAGAAAGTTTTCGTGCATGTGCACGCATTTGTGGGATGTGCCGGAATACTTACTTCCCTTAAGCAAGGCGCAAGCTGCAACGAGTAAAAACCATGACGTAACGGGAAACGACTTCGCAAAATGCGCTTTTAAAATATCTAATGTTATTAAACAGGCCGCTGCCGGTGATGCAACGTGAACATTCCCGCCCGGCACACGAGCTCACAAACGTGAACATCCCCGCCCGGCACCCTTGTTCACGATCGTTCACCCGTTCCACAAACCCGGATTGTAAATTTATGTATTTTTAAGTCTTTGAGAAATACATAAAAATTTAAAGTTAAACTGGGCTCGCACAGATGCTCAGTAACGTTAAACGTATGATGCGCTATATTGCCCATAGGCTATAGCACAGTGTTGAATTTACTTTTAAATTTTGTTCTGGCCACGCCCATTCATCACAGTAGCTGAAAATAATTTTTTGCTTATTCCAGTGTTCTTTATCTTTCTGCAAAAGATCAGATTTTTCTGAATTTATAGCCGGTGACGGGGCCCTGGTGAGATAATAGGCGCTGTTGTTGCTCTCGTGGTGGTATGTAATGACTTACAGTCAAATCTCGTGTTATCTGTAACTGAGATAATTTCTTCATTTAATTTTTTTTTCAGCGAGCGAAGCTCGTTTTTGTCCAGTGCCCATATTGTAGAATAAAAAAGCGTAAGCTCTTCATGATCCATATTACAGACCTTCACCACTGTGACTATATAGTAGTAGCTTGTGAACAAACGTACCACAGACAGGGACGCTCACGTTTGCTTGGTTCGACATTTAGGCTTTTATTTTAACGATATACAAAGCGAAACGGCAGATCGAAGAGCATTTGGATTCGAAAAGCAATAACATAATTTATTATCTTTCCCGAAATTACCGGTCCACGAAAACAGTTAGTCCAAAGCTATAAAACATAAAATGCGTTATTGCAGTGCTAACAAGCCAATGTCCACTAATTATTGCTTCGAAACTTAATGATAAAATTCGCCGATATTTATGAAGGGTGTTTCTAAAAGGTGGTGACCACGGTTGTGGGCGTGGTCGCTGTGGGCGTGGTCGCTGTGGGCGTGGTCGGTTGTGGGCGTGGTCGTCAGTGGTTGAGTGTGGTTTAGAGTGGTCATATGTGGTTGTGGTCAGTGGTGGTCAAAAACTTCCGATTCAATGTTCACTATTTAATATTTCGGCAGATTTTTATTGTGGCCTTACGCGCATTGTACGGCTAAATAGGTGAATATATATTAATAATTATGCTAACAAAATGTATTTACAGCGGAAGTATTTACATAAAAATTACAGCGGAAGAAGGGTTTGCAAATGTCAGCTAACGAATTTTACGGATCATAAACTTGAGTCATATAGTGGTGGAGCTATGGCACCGCGATATTCTGCGGCTTTTTTTGACTTTAACAAAAATTGCACTTCAGTACTCGTTTTTTGGTATTCATCTGTATACGCGCATTGTTAAAATTTTTACCCGTCATCGCTTTAGTTGACCATTAAATGAACAGTAGGTGCATATTTCATACGCTAGCTACGATGTTATACTTGGGATTAAAAAAATGCTTACTTATTTAGCACTTTTATTGACAAAGAACAATATGACATGACACCCTTGACAACGAAAACAGAATCCCGTATGATGCAAATTGCCAGCAAACAACGATTACCTAAAGAAAACAAAGCCATGAAGCCGCACTTTTAACTAAACATTCATGCCATAAGTTGCATTATTAATACAAAAATATGTAATCGCGCGATCAAAACCACAAGAGGATGATATGAAAAAATTTGCTGGTTATGATTTCAGTTTATAGAAGCTTCCCCACAACCAGTATCAAATAATAATAGTGCGCTAACCGCAATGCCGAATTATTACAAAATGAAGCACAACTCGATCAAAAAATTATTGAAAAGATGACAAATATTTCCCTACTAATGGCTACCATAGTGCAGCTAAAAAGTGATGGCACTTTCCAAAACTTTTGCATATACCGATCCTAGCTTAGCCTTTGTGCTAGGGCTGACCAAATATTCTTTTGGCTCTGACCCTGGATGTTTTGAGGCATATAGGTTAACGCAAGCCTTGTTAACGTGAAGGTATACATTTCTCTGTTGCTCTTCAAACTGGTGGGTTTCTGGGTTTTTGAACGAACGTGGTCCACGCGTAACAAATACCAGATCATCCGGAGCATCTCTGTCGCGAGCAAACTTTCCGCCGCATCCACAGCAAGAACTCACTTGTTTGTGGCAATCAACTAGTTTCCAGATTTCATACTGGCTTGGAATGGGAGACGGTTTGGATGCATGATTTAACGTACGAATTTGCATCCAAACTCCAGTGGTTTCTGTTTTAGAATAAAGAAGGAAGCAATAATACCGTTTCTCAAGCATAATAAAGTTTTCTATGGTATATACAGTAATGTACTGTACTTCATAAAGGTGGTAGGGAAACCTGCCGTATGCATGGCGCCCTTAGCCTTAGGTGCCACCATCTTTCTGAAGTACAGGTTATCATAAATATTACACTGTAAAAATTAGTAAAACACTACGTAACTAGGAAAGTGCACTCGCTTGTAGCGGGCATTGTATGACCGAAGTGTAGCAGGGCTAGATTACAAGAAAACGTTATAATGTAAGAGAAAGAGTAAAATAAACTGATATCCATACTGTATAATCCAGTTCAGTGTAATACAGTATTATTTGCAATAATGCCGTGTATACTGGGCGTGACCAAACGCGTTCCACCATTTTCGGCTACTGTTGAAGTCAACCAGCTGGTGGTTTACGTTGTGCCTTGACAATGACTCATGTAAACGGCTGCTATTAAAGCTGTGTGGCATTGATGGATCATGTGGTATTAGCTGCAATATTTTTGTATTTACCTGTTTACCTGCGATTTACTGCATTGTTATATTATGTTATGCTGGACTGGATTATGTACATATAATGTAATTAGGTACTCGAATAATGCGGTATTATGTGCAATATGTTCCTGTATAACTTAAAGATGTATAGAAGTGTTGCCACAGGTGACGTTTGATCACGTGACAAGAGCTGGTGGAGCGGAAGCGATTTTGCTCGTAAGCTACAACGCTATTCGGCCCATGTTCGTACCTCCCTTGCTCACCAACCAAGTGGAGTTTTAACAAGCAGATTGTGCCGAAATAATTAACATACAGGGATAACTTAACTTGGGAACGTAGAAGAAGGATTTCTGCGGCACCAAAGTTACAGCTACAAACAAATTTCCTAGTTACCCATACTGCCGCGGATTTCGGTTGAAAATGCTTATATTTGCTGCAGTTGATTATTTCTGTTGGCGCTTCGTTAAATTCGCTGTCGGTTTTGCCACGGTTGGGCTTTTTTTCGGCTCGAGACGTCACGAGCTCTGTGGCAACCTTCTATACTCCATGTATACTTAAAAGATGTATACCATAATTTTCAATTTTTGAATTTTATTTTAGTAATTACTCAGTGCGCCAAGATATTAATTTACGTGTACGTCGCTGCGTTGCCTGCTACACGGACAAATTTCGCACAAAAATTGGTTTAATTAAGGGTTTTTTAGAGTGTATCTCATTAGTCAATACCTTTTCGGTGCGCGAAGTTGAAGCTTGACGGAGATCGTTAGGTTTGTTACCACTCACTGCAGACTTTGAAGAAAGGGTGGTAACGGGTGGCTTTCGTTTCTGTGGACCTTTACGCGGTTTCGACCCAGCTCCCTTGGGTACACCAGATTTCATATAAGACTGCAGCCCATGCCGGCCCTTCTCGGTATCGCTGCGTTTGTTGAACCACTCAACGAACTTTGGCATAACATTCAAATGCATGGCATGGCGACGCAAAACGTATGCTCACAGAATCCTTGCATACGAAACATCTGGCAAGTTTTGCCACACCCAATACGTCCGTTAGTCGTGACTGCGTCGACCTGAACATAAGACTTGTTCGACGTGGATTCAGCAACGAAAAATGTGTTTTCTCGCGTGGGATGGGATGAGATGCCACCATTTTTTCAGAGCAGCAATATTCCGGGCAATATCAAGCGCGTTGCAAACTGCTTCCAGACCAACTCCTTGCAGATGCTGCAATAATTCTCCAGCAGGATCCCTGTAATACTTCGTATTAATAATAATAATTATTAAAATTGTATTTTTAGTGGTAATCATAAAACTAATAACAGTGGTCACCAAGAGCATTATTTTGTATACTCAGTACACTCAGCCATAATGACCACCGATTTCCCCACAAAAAAGTTATCACTTCGTTTATATGGCTTCAAAACCTGAAATTTGATTCACGGCCTTCAGCATTATTTTATATTCAGCACATATGTATGTTCGACTTAACCGCATTATAAACTAACGTGCCGGATACTAAACAAACAGTATTTTTTACACTGTCATACAGCAGCACATTTGGGAATTTGTAATTTATATCATATACAAGTACCAAAACTATGTTTTATGCGTAATCAGTTATTAAAATTGTTTTGTAATGTGGTAGAACGCGGAGAATGGTTCTGAGCCTGTGTGCGGTGTGAAATTCGTACGGAATGCGAGTACCGACAAAGTACATAGTTGAAGGGCGATACCTTTCATTTTATAGTGTTACAAAGACTTTTCAATCTTATTACTTGTTTTTTTAGCGCAATACAACGTTAATTTGGCAAATAATAATAATTAACACATCTATTATGGTTTTCTGGCAAAGGTGACTGCGGGAATAATTTTCAGTTTTAATCTTACCCTTGCAGTAGTTTCTCGAAAGGACACGCAGAGCTAATTCCATCGCTCTTTTTGTCCGGATCAAAACGCTCGTTATGAATACGATGCAAGGCGGTACGGCGCGATGAATTAGACATGCTGGAATAGCTAGTTTCATTGACTGCAAGATAGCTGTAAGCTGGCGCAAGGCGATAGTCTCCAGCTGATCGCACGGCAAGCTCTAAATTTGTGGCTTCCTGTGCAGCAAACTTTTCCAGGTGTTCAACGGCCTGGAAAGGCGTCAGGTGTTTTTTTAACTCTTGTTTGATTGAGGAATTCAAACTTTCGATGCCATTTTGAGTGTAAAACGCCACTCCAACACCAGCTGTATTACGGATGGTTGTCTGTAAATATAGACACATCCAAATGTGATATTGAACAGTAGACAATACAGAGAGTTATCGGGTGCTCAATATGAATAGTAAAAGTAAGCGGTTATGGCAAAAAACTGAAAAACTGCTTGAATAATTTTTTAGATTTTTACTTACAGTACTTATGCAAATCTGTATCAAGTTTATCTTTATTGCTTCTTCCATTACTTATGTTAGTATTTCATCACGCACAATACTCACGTTAAACTGATCGCGGAGAACTGCAGCCCTTTCTGATTTAAAATATGAAGCGAACGATGACCCGTTCTGATGAGCGCTGTTCCATTTTTCTAGCACTAACGCATCATTGAACTCCCGGGCGTGGCATGGTCGACCAGTGCAAACGTGCGCTCGGATCCTGACCTTTCTCCAAATATGTCGCAGTAAATCATTTGTTTCAGGTCCTGCATTCCTAGATCCGTCAGCTTACGCTGAATGTTGTCCCACCCGTGAATTTGGCAGACAAGGTGCTTTGCACCCGAAAAGACCGTTAAAAGTGCTTTAAAGAGCGCCTAAAAAATCGGTTATTACAGTTATGGCCGTGAGAAAAATGCTAGAATTTGGAATGATAGAAGTGGAGATAGTTGTGTGTACTGCGCTTCGAATTACCTCATCGGAGTCTGTTCCCACAAACTTCACATCCCGCAGTATCGGACGGTCTTGAATCAACCGTGCCGCTGCCGCTACATAGGCTTCAAAGTTTTTATTCCAATGCAAACATGCCGCAGCAATTACTACAGGAGGACTGCCTGTTCGTTTATTGGTCACCAGCATATGGCGCACGCTGAACAAGGTCACATAAAATTTCCCAATATTGAAGGTAGTGTCCACGGACAAAATACTTCCACCCTTGACAACTGCGAATCGTGGGGCATTGTTAAGCTGCCGATCAGAAGCACACACCAGCAAAAAATCCGGAGTTGTCTGAATACAGCGAATGAATGGCCTTCCCGATTCATGATCTCTCTGGCACTTTGCCTGGAGCATTTCGTAATCGTTGATTTCTTTTCGCTTTGTAGCCGCTCGTTTATAGTTCGAAATGCTCTTGGAATCAGGAATTTGTGCCGAAGAAGGGATACTGTCCAATCCACCCAGGTCAGCTATGATAGAATGTTTGATTTATTTAGACGGGCAACCTATGGCAATAAGAAGGTGAAATGTGCTACTACAGACTCAGAATACTACAGTAATTTAAGTACAATTGAACACCTACGGTTCCTTAAAAAGTGTTCAAAGTAGACGAGTGTTCAATATTCGCAGTAGCTGCCCCAGGGGGAACCACCTTGGGGGGCCCCCGGGGGCAGCAAGACGGACTCCCAAAGGCAGCTATCGGGGGTCTCCCTTTTGTGCCTAGTCTTTTCAGAGATTAGGCCTATACCGCAAAGTACTAATTTCAAAGCAATTGCGCCCAACTAATGAAACTTTTAACGCCATTTTAATACGAAAACATTGTAGATCAACTAAACAGAGTCAGGTTATAGATAACAAACTGTATGTGGTGTAAAAACAAGTAACACGCGCATTCAAAACGGTATTGTTCAAAGTTATTCTCTCTCTGCCGTCTTTTTTACATACCGGAGCCGGATTTTATGCCTTTGTTCACATTGAACAGAGTCATTTTATTAGTACGGTTCCAAGTAAAGCGTTCAATGTTCACTTTACACAGATGTTCAATATTCGCGGTGGCCCCCCTATATTATAGTCTACGAGACGCGCCGGTTCCTAACCGGGCGTTCAATGTAAAGCCATGTTCAATGTTCGCAGATGTTCAATCTCACAGATTTTACTGTACCTTCATCAATTTTGCGTTTGATGCAGAAAGCTGTGGAAGGGAACTTTTTACGAAAGGGCGATTCGCTCCTTGTTTTGTTGCCGTGCGGCTCCGGGGTAAACTTAATTTCTGGCCCGTCAAAGTAATACTGCAGCACAAAGAGATCGAACTCTGGAGCTTCAAGCACTACCCGGTGGAAAGAAGGACACGACTTGTTACCATACGCACGGCGGTAGAGAGGAAATCCATTACCAACATCATCCTAAATAATGCACAATTTATGCTAATATTAAAAAAACCAATGCTGGACTACCAACCCAGCCGGAAAAAGGACGGCCGCGCACCACTTCACCGGCACTGGGCGGAAGTCAGTGACGGCCGCGCATCACCCGCCCGGCACTGGGCGGAAGTCAGTGACGGCCGCGCACCACCCGCCCGGCACTGGGTGGAAGTCAGTGACGGCCGCGCACCACCCGCCCGGCACTAGGCGGAAGTCATAAACGGCCGCGCACCACCCGCCCGGAACTGGGCGGAAGTCAGTGACGGACGCGCACCACGCGCCCGGCACTAGGCGGAAGTCATAAACGGCCGCGCACCACCCGCCCGGCACTGGGCGGAAGTCAGTGACGGCCGCGCACCACCCGCCCGGCACTGGGTGGAAGTCAGTGACGGCCGCGCACCACCCGCCCGGCACTAGGCGGAAGTCATAAACGGCCGCGCACCACCCGCCCGGAACTGGGCGGAAGTCAGTGACGGACGCGCACCACGCGCCCGGCACTAGGCGGAAGTCATAAACGGCCGCGCACCACCCGCCCGGCACTGGGCGGAAGTCAGTGACGGCCGCGCACCACCCGCCCGGCACTAGGCAGAAGTCATTGACGGCCACGCACCACCCGCCCGGCACTGGGCGGAAGTCAGTCTTCAAATTTTGCACAAAAACACACATTACTATGAAGATCGTTTTTGTGCAAAATTTGAAGAGCATCGGTTCATAATGAGACTCCTGGTACACCTCCGCGCGTTTAAACTTTTGCAATTTTATTTCACTAATAGCTCCCGAACCGGATGTTGCGCGCACAAACGGATTTCACGCCTGCGTATATAAATCTTTTGGCTACAAAATATCATAAAGCAATGCTAAAAAGTGTTCTAAAAAAAACTAAAAAGAGTGCGCGAAAGGGAAAGTTCTCGTGTATGTACCCGAACTTGGTACTATGTACCTGGCCAACATTATTACTAAAATGCGTGAAGATTACATAATTATTTTTGTGTACGTACTGTTTCACTTAATCCGGTTACTTCGTCGAACAAATAAAGCTTGTTCTTTTGTCGGCATCCGTAAGACTGGTCCCAAACACCATTGTGATCCGCCAAAAATCTCGGTTGCCCACTAGCTTACTGGTGTCGATGATGAAGACACAGTTTTTCTGCACACCTAAGGGCACAACCCAAAGGCACGGCATTGGCTTTTCAGAGTTCCGAAATGCAAAGAGGATGTCTGCCAGTTCGACAAAGTTGTACGGCTTTCGGTGTCCAATTCCATGAGCAGAATACCCATTAACTAGCATTTCATCCGCAATAATATCGTCATCTTCTTCTGAATTGCATGCACAAACTGTAGGTAAAATGTTGAGCCAGTGCGGTATACGCAAAGTTTTTATAAGAAGACCGTTGATGTATACCCATGTTTCCGTTGTCGTTCAGCTTGTATTTAAGCGAGTACAGCTTTGTACACCGACAGGCGTTGAAGTGCTCTCTCTCTCTCTCTCAGTAAAACGTTTTTTAAATGTATAATCAAATGTAGGTAGAATCAATATGTGGACGTCTTATCATAATTATTTCTATTAAGCATCCTGCTTTAATTACAGAAATCACAGGTAGAGCTTGAAATTACAGTTACGTGCTGCCGCATTGCAAAATTAACGAGACCCAAAAATGAATAATCAGTACTAGTGTACTACGTATGGCTTACCGGCATGTATCGGTATTGGAACAGTCATGCGTATCCTGAATGGAGCTGGAATCTGTGATACCCATGGCGTCATCTTCGTTTATGTCTTCAAGCCGCTCGCATTCTGACATTGTTATGGTACGATCGACTAACAAATCTGGCTCTCCGCTGTAATCGTAATTTTATATACTGTAGTATAGTAAAGTGAATCGTTTGTGCATCATATAAAGTATGTGCCTAGTATATATATATATATATATATAAAAGTGCAGCATATACTGAATACTATAATATGTTGTTTTCTGACCTCATGTCCATATTAGATGAACTGCGGGCCTCCATAAGAGGAAAATGTGCATAAGAAGAATGTTAAAAACGACTTCCGCACTAATTAGTGGATTTGCGGTGACAAACTGCATCTATACACGAAATCGATTCATACAAACAAGTGACGTCACGGTGACGTTGTGAGCCATATATACAAAGCCCAATTCTCAGCGGTCTCTACGTCACTTGTTTGTATGCATAGATTTGGTGTATATATACAAGTTGTCAGCGCAAATCCACTATTATCACTGAATCAAGTAAACGTAATGGAAGAATTGACTTGTCGTAGAAAGCAAGTATCATTCAACAGTGCAGTCCTTTCGCGAAAAATTTTGTTGGTGCAACTGGCCAAAGTTCACTAACTCCTAAATAATATCTGCAGCAACACCTGCGGATTATATGAGAAATGTTATTCGACTTGCATTCCACCACACACAGCGCAGCTGAGCGTTCTCACAAAAGTGTTAGTTCTCTTTCTAAAGGACTGCTCCTCTCTGAAGTTTCTTTGTAGCCGGCGTTTCTCACATCGGTTCCAAAAGAGCGGCTCCTAGACAAGATAAGAAACTGCGGCATACGATTAAAAGTTGCGTGATCAAATTAGTGCGTCGACAAAACATGCAGTTTCCTCACTAGTTGTCCGAGGGACAGACAGACAGGTGAATGTTGTCTACGATCTCTTGTGTCTGCACGTAGCTTTCCAAACGAGTGAGCGGAACGGGGAGTTGGCAGTATGATACTCTGTTTAATTAAAACTACTCTTCCAGTAAACGTTATTGTCTTTGCCCCATTGGTTATATTCTTACTGCAGTAAGTGTCACTGGGCAGCAGCAGTGTATGTACACAGTGCCGCTCTACAGTAGTATAGGCTTCTGGCGAAGCTATACAGGCTTGCTACTCACCATAAAACCCTGATGGGCGGAGCCTAGCTGTTCCGGAAAATAGCATAGGTGTCTGCGGAAAAATTCAGTTAAAGCCGAACCTTTTGGTTTTAATTTGGTCGTTTGAACATTTGGTTGGTTCTGGTAGATAGAAAAAGTCTGGGCGGTCAAAACTATATAGGTTTGGCTTGATAAATCTGACTCGTCGCTGAAAAAAACAGGTATTAAGCAAGCCCAGCGGAAACGGGCGTCCGATGTGTGCAACCAGACATTTTGGCGCCAAGAACACAATGGCACACACAAAGAAGCCAGTCGTATGGGCAAGAGAGAAAGCGCGCACATGCCATGGGCTTTCGATAGCATGCCAGTTAAACGAAAACAGTGAACGTTCTAATTATCAAATTCGGTCGCGTTTGGCATCATCAGAAAGAAGACGAAATTCTACAGGTGATGATGATGTTTAAAGTTCCAAAAGTCTGGAAAGTTTAGAACCATAAGCGTTTATCCGAGCGAGAAAATTTCTCTACGGTAGCTTAACATAGGCGTTCTCTCTGTTCTCTTCCTCCGTCTCCGGATCAGCTCAAAAGTTTTACGATCAGTAGCAAGCCTGTATAGCTTCGCCAGAAGCCTATACTACTGTAGAGCGGCACTGATGTACATGATGTGTAACTTGTACTTATTTTCTAAATTCCTATGCAACTTTCGCATATTTGCATCCTGACGCTGGCAATAAACCGCTACAAGATAAAACATGCAAGGCAGTAACTCTCACTGCGGAAATTTGGAAGATTTAGATATCCGTAAAGAACCAATGGAAATGTACAGTATATGGTCTGCATCTGCACGAATGTAGTACTGATAGAACTGTATTAGTTTATCTTTATGAGCGCACTGACATCGTCGTAAAATACAAATTCAATTCTAATGACAAGCGATCATAATATCGCAAGTACAATTACCAAAACGGGTTAAGCATCATCCAATTTAAAACGCTAAACAAAGGAAAACGATCGCAATTCTCCGGTATGAATATCCGGTATGAATAAACGGTCATTTTAATGCGCCAGTGCAGCATGTTAAGTTAAAGAAGAAAACTGAACGTTGAACCGGAAGTTTTTGACCACCACTGACCACAACCACATTTGACCACTCTCAACCACTCTCAA